GGGGCTGCCAGTCTGTATGTGGGATCCGAGCCCTCGGCGGGTGCGCTGCTGCGCTTCCCAAGCGGCGCACTGTAGCAGTGCGCCACCGGGCCGGCCCCTAAAAAATTTTTTAAATAAAAGCACACATGGCCCTAATGACATTTTAAAAAATGAAGAAAACAATCAAAACATCAAAAGTTCATTCACTGGGCCGGCCCGTGGCTCACTCGGGAGAGTGCGGTGCTGATAACACCAAGGCCCCGGGTTCGGATCCCATATAGGGATGGCCGGTTCGCTCATTGGCTGAGCGTGGTGCTGACAACACCAAGTCAAGGGTTAAGATCCCCTTACCGGTCATCTTTTTTTTAAAAAAAAAGAAAGAAAAAAGTTCATTCACTACAGAAAAAGAGAAGAATAAAAAGAAATGGGGGCTGGCTGGTTAGCTCGGTTGGTTTAGAGCACAGTATTACATAACACCAAGGTCAAGTGTTCAGGTCCCCATACTGGCCAGCCGCCAAAAAAAAAAAAGGAAAAAAAAATGGATAAGAAGTAAGTGACGTCATGACCACAGTTAACTCTTAATCTAAGTGGACAATCCCCAAAGCACCTGGATTAACTTGGTGATTCTTATAGAAACCAGGTCACAATAGCTTAAACAAGAGAAAAGGTGTGGTTTGCTCTTGTTGAGTTGGCTTCCAAGGTCATCTTGGATCAGCTTTCTTCTGTTGCTGCATTAGCCTGGTGGTCCTCGGCTGCGTAGCCAGAAGGAAGCGGGAATGGGGCAGAGGATGGCAAGCAGGTTCCTTTTAGGGATGTGATCTAGAAGTGGCACTCATTGGTTCTAAATCATATCCCCTCAGCCAGAATGTAGTCACGAGGTCAAATCTTGCTGCAAGGGAGGTGTGGAAGTGTGGTCTTTAGTCGGCTAGTTGACTGAGTCTTAATTTAGTCCACTTAAAACTCAGAAGGTTTATTTACTAAAAGGAAGAAAGAAAGGACAGGTGATGAGGGACAATGAGGAGACTTGACCGTGTCACCCTTAGATGATTACAGTTGCTTCGAGAATAAATGCTCTTGCTTATCTTGTTTTGCTCGGGTTCAGACATATAAATGCACACATCTCTCATGAGCGCATGGACGGGCGCTCAGAGAGGTAAGCCAGGAGCAGACGGAGAATGGGAGGGAGACAGCTGGAGACAAACTGCTCCCTGCAAGAAACCTGGCAAGTGGAGACTCCACAAATAGACCACTGCACATAGGCTGCCTCTTGCCTGCATTCAAATTCTGCTGTCCTAATGGAAGGGAGTGCGTTACCTCCTTCTGGAAAGGGTGAACTTACTGTACTGTGGCAGAGAATAGATAGTGGTTGTCTGCCCTTTGGACCTGGGGTAAGTGCTCTCACACTGAGGGGATTTTTTGGGGTGGACAGGAATTTAAAAATTCCAAAGGACCTAGCCATAGTATGGTGAAAGTGCGGCCACAACAGCAAGAAGAAAGTAACTAAGGGATAATTTGAAAAGTAGATGCAGGAAAGGCACAATTCTTGTTATAACTGAGGTGTCGTCCAGCAAGGCTCCCTGGAAGAGGCAGGGTGAGCATTGAGTCTGCGGTCTCTAGCATAGTAACTAAGGGATAATTTGAAAAGTAGATGCAGGAAAGGCACAATTCTTGTTATAACTGAGTCCAGCAAGGCTCCCTGGAAGAGGCAGGGTGAGCATTGAGTCTGCGGTCTCTAGCATGGATTTCTCTGCCCCCTGGCTAGGTAGGCGGCAGTGTGCTGGGAAACACGTTCCAGTTCAAGCTGTTGCTCGAACAGGGTGAGAGTGGAGACTGTCTGCACAGGAGGTGGGGATCTTTTCGGCCCCTGGATGGCTTCCCCAGCTGCGTGGTGACGAGTGGCGTTGTCAACTTCTTCCTGGCCCACACAGAGCAACTCAGAAGAGTTGGCTTCGATCCCCGCCTGCAGCGAGTGGCTCACTCAGGTGGGGAGGTTGGAAGCGTGAGGGGGTGGGGGGCTGTGGATTAGCTCAGAAGTCTGTTCCTCCCAAAGCCATACCCTACTGGTCATGGCCGCCTGCCCAGCAACAGTGGGTCTCCCTCCCCTTCACCCCATATTAGGGAGCTCATGGCCTCTCTTGCCTCCCTTTTCACCCCTCTTTGACTTCTGTGTCTCTCAAGGCTGTCCCTGTCCATCTAAGACACCATTTCCCTTCCTTTCCCTACAGCTCTGTCCTCTCCCTCTTTTCCCGCCCTGTGTCATCTTCTCTTTTTCCAGAAATCCTTTTCTGTTTAACTGCAGCTGGTTAACTGCCCCCTCGCCTTCTCCTCGTATTCCTCGAGCCCTGGAGTCCACAGTTCTGTCCAGTTGCAAAGGTAATCTGTGTCTCTCTGCCTCTGTGCCTATATCTCCGCCTGAGGAGTGAGCTTGTTTATTTCCTTCCAACTCACCAGCGCAGGCACGTGCCTAGAGTTAAGGCTGTGGCTTCGCTGAACCTCCCCAGGGTATTAACTGTGTCCTCTCCCCATGATTCTGCTCCCAGACCTGGAATAGGACCTTGGGTCTCTGACCGCAGTTCCCATTTCCTCCTCCTGCTCTCCCTCTCTTTGCAGAGTTCTTTATTGATGGGCTAGGGAGCCTGCTCGTGGGGTCATGCCCAGAAGTGATTATAGGTCACCAGTCCCAGACTCCAGTGAAGGACGTAGAGCTGGCTGCCCTGGAGAAGAGCTACAGCACGTACCGGGCCAACACCAATGCTCAGATCCAGTTCAAGCTGGCTCTCCACTACTTCAAGAACCATCTCCAGTGCTCCACATAAAGGTGCAGGGGCATAGGAAATGGACTAGGGTGACTGGTTGTGGGCATCTAGGGCAGTGGAACTGGTGGTCAGGGATGCCAAAAACGACCCCTGGTAAGCTGGGAGTTAGGGCAAATGGATATGGCTCAGTTACTGGAAGTACCAATCAAAGGTTAAGGGTTATTAGAGGTGAACCAATCGGTGGTGATTCCATTGGACACTATATTAATGACAATTATTATTTGTTTGTATGCTGCCTTATCTTTTATGAAGAATTTGCACATACAGTATCTCATATCATCTCATCTGATCTCACGCAGAAGAATATGTTGGTTGGTATCCTCTGTCAAAAGAATGGCTGTGACTCCCTGTGAGTTGTTTAGTGGAAATTATATCACAGTCAGAAGCATCATCCCCAGCATTGCTACCTGTATCAGTTTGTTTTCTGTTCCTTCTAATAGAATACCTGAATCTGGGTAATTTATAAGAAAATGAAATTTATTTCTTACAGTTTTGGAGGCTGGGAAGTCCAAGGTCCAGGGAGCACATCTGACGAGGGCCTTCTTGGTGGGGACTTTCCACAGCGTCGTGTGGACGTGCAGGATATCACATCATGAGGGCTGGGAGAACACTTCCTAACGTGCTCACTTGCTCTCCTGATAAAGCCACCAGTCCACGCCCATGATAACCTATTAAACTATGAAACTATTACTCCATGAATGGATTAATCCGTTCATGAGAGCATAGTCCTGACAATCCAATCACCTCTTAAAGGCCCACCTTTCAACACTGCCATGCTGGGAATCAAGCTCCCACATGAGCTTTGTAGGGCACAAACATTCAGACCATAGCACTGTAATCCACACTTTTTAATTTGGTTCTATCATGTGGGCTCGAAACATGTAAATAATACAGAGTTCTTGCCTTGAAGAGGTTGCAGCCTGGTTCAGTTCAGTCCAATAACAGAGTTGGGCAGCCAGGGTCGGAGGATCAGAGAAGGGAGGGGTCACCAGGGCCTGGCAGCTGAGGAAGGCCCCTTGAGTGAGCTCATCTGGAGCTGAAAGATGGGATTCAGGCATGCAGAGGAAGGAGGCCATTGGGGGCCAAACCACTGTCTACCAGGACAGAGGTTGCCCTGGCATCAGACTCACTTCCACAAAGACACGTTCCAAAATGCCAGGGATTGAACTTGGAGCCCATGCTAAGGTGTCACGATGAATGGACACTGCTGGTGTAGTGACAAGCTACCAAATTCCAGGGACTTGGGACCGGTGCTGACCACTCAAAAGCCATGTCATTTACACAGTGGATCTATCACTTGTTACTGAGGAAGCTTCTTTCTGTTATCTTGGGAGTCAGCAGGTTCTACAACTGCTCTAGCTCTGCCTTTATGGTTTTTACTCACCTGGAGACTCTTTCCTACTGAAGAAGGCCTAGGGTGGTTCAGGATCCCTAAAAATATGTTCTGTGAGATATTAATAAAAATTCATGAAACATGTTTTGGGGGTCAAATAATTTTGAAAAATACTGCATGCTGTATCTCCCTCGTGGAAAGTCACTGTTCACATTAGGATATTAAAGGCTCTGAGGAGTCCTGTGGTAAAGCAATCCATTTAACTTTTTTTTTTTTTTGTCCTTTTTGACTTTTTTCGTGACCGGCAACGGATCGCAACCCTCAGTGTCGCGCCTGTACCGGACCGGGACCGGCAAAGGTATCACAACCCTCGGTGTTGCGCCCGCACCTCGCTCAGCCAGTGAGCGGCCAGTCTGTATGTGGGATCCGAACCCTCGGCGGGAGCGCCGCTGTGCTCCCAAGCGGCGCACTGTAGCAGTGCGCCACCGGGCTGGCCCCCATTTAACTTTGTTTAATTCAGCATTTCTTAGATATGGATACAGACTGGCAATTATTTTTTTTATTTTCCTGAAAGAGAATTCCATTGTATATGTCACAAAGTTTTTATAGCTTTAACTAACATGCAGTGTCATTTTACACAATAGTACATGAATTTTTATGTACAATAACATAGCTATATAGGATCATCCCATTCAGTACTGCCCTTAGACCCAAACAAGAAGAGCCCCTACCTGGATCCTGTGCTCTAGAATACCCTGCAGAGCACAAACATGTATTTACTGATGCACAGCTGGGCATCTCTGTGCTCCGAGCTGTGCAGTGCAGCATCACTGGTAACCCTAAACATCACTCTGGGGACTAACACTATTCAGGTCTCAGGGAGATGCTTCTCCACATCTCTTGCCTTATGTCCTCAAAACAAAGATGGTTGCATCCAAATGCAATGAAAGTGTGTGGACAGTTTGGTAGGATTTGAGCTGTAATGAGCTTAGGTAACAGAAAAAGACAAATTTTTTAGTTTGTCAAATTCTTCCTCTCAGACAGTATAAATAGCAATAGAGTCTTGGATCATACTTAGTGTTTGTGGGGTTTTTGGCTTTTTTAAAAATTTCAATTCATGGTTCCAGAAGTACTAGAGAATGAGCATGGTATTCACAACAATTGCACATGGTGGCTTAAGGACATTTAAAAATAGTAAACAATTTGTATTACTCTGTAATTGTTATATATGCAGATTTAGACATATTATGCATGAAGTGTAATACCAGTTCTTTACATTTGCCTTTAGGTGGTGGTTGAATGCTGAAATTGCAATAATTTAATTTATTTATTTCTTTTTGGTTGTTGGTTTTTTTTTTGGCAGCTGGCCAGTATGGGGATCCGAACTGGTGATCTTGGTGTTATAAGGCTGTACTCTATCCGCAATAATTTTCTTTTCTTTTCTCCGCCGCGCTCCCAAGCGGCGCACTGTAGCAGTGCGCCACCGGGCCGGCCAATAATTTTATTTTCATAAAAATATTTAATGACTTAAATTGTTTGCAAACTAGATGTAGAATAACTATTGAAATAATTTTGATTTTTAAATGTGATATTTATTCATTGTAATTTTAATTTTGTCTTTTGAATCTAATAGACAATTTTGAATATTCTAGAAGAAAAATAATATCTAAGACATGAACACTAATTCTAATTTAAAAATTTCTTACATTTGCCTCAGTTTACCCTTGAAGTAAATTTTATACACTTTGAACACAGTTACACTTTATTTTTTTATTCTTTAGTTTACTACTACTCCATGCTGGTCCACAAGAAGATAAGAAGCATGTGTTAGAAAGCAAATGAATATATGGCTTCCTTCATCAAGAAAGTCTTGCCATGAAAAAAATGTCAGCTTAACCAGAACAGTGTGCTTAGGGATGTAGTTGATTTTGATTCTGGCACAAGCTCCTTATCTTGTGGCAGCTTAGTGACAAAATGCTCACAGACCAGGCCTCAGAGCACACTTTGAGTAGCATTGCTTTAGATAAGGGTCACAACCTTTTTTTGTAAAAGACCAAATAATCAATATTTTTTAAAATTTTTCTTCGTACCTAGCCAGTACATGGATCCAAACCCTTGTATAACACTGTTCTCTGATCAACTGAGCTAACCAGCCAGCCCGATAATAAATATTTTAGTATTTGTGGGCCACATAAGTTTTCTGTCACACGTTCTTCTTTTTAAATATGTAACCCTTCAAAACCGTAAAAACCATTCTGAGCTCATGGACCCATTCAAAAACAAGCCACAGGCTGTATTCAACCCATGGGCTGTAGTTTGCTGCTTTAGATAAAAACTGTTTTTTGGAATAAAAATGATGTAAAAAATCTTGATTATAAAAACATAATTGGTGATTTTGCTTCTAAAATGAATGCAAGAAAATTAAATTGTATGGGATCAATATATGACCATTTACAAATTATGCATATGTCTTTGTTCTTGCTCACCCAAACATCAGCAACCAATCCACTAAATACCAGATGTGTACGACAATAGTTCAACTCCATTGCTTTGATATGTTGCCTACTCTGAGTTGTACAAAACCCACAGCTTTATAGTGTATTCGATTCTGCCATTATAAAGTTATATTTGTCAAGGTAAGAAGATAGAACATTCATTGTAACAGTTTGCTAGCTTCATTTTTTATAGCATTAAACATTAGACTTAAGGGTTTGTACTCTTGTGCCCAGACCTGGCTGTACAAAAATGTCTGTCTTCCTTATTATTCACATACTCGACTTAGGGGGGTAGAGGTGTACACTTTCATGGCAGTTATGGCATTCCCCAACATCCCCCATTAGGGACCATTTTGACATGCCGTAGCATGTTCTAGGCACATTCTCTTTATCCCAAGATCTGGAACCATCTACTCCAGCAGGGAGTAATAGTCTGGTAGACTGTTTACCTCTACTGTGAGCCAAAAACCCCTTCTCCAGGAGCCGATCAGCTGCCATAGAGTGTGCGACCCCACTCCCTAGTTAAAATGTATTAGACCAAGAGAGGCGGACTCCTGACCCGAGAGCCAATCAGATTGTCTCTCTTGGAATTTGAATTGAGTCTGAAAAACATCAAAATCAGGCCCTGTGGCTGGCTGAACTTGAAACATCACACTCAGATGCAGAGCTGCCCCTTGCCACTGTGTGAACTGGGAGGAGAGAAGCCCACTCTGCACCTAGAAAAAAGCTTAGCCTGTGCACAAAGAGAAACTGAAACGAGACTCCTGGCAGCCTTCTGTTTCTTTCCTGAGGTGTGGCCACAGTCCTGTCCTAGGGTTTTGTGAAACACCATCCGGAGAGAAGCCCACTCTGCACCTAGAAAAAAGCTTAGCCTGTGCACAAAGAGAAACTGAAACAAGACTCCTGGCAGCCTTCTGTTTCTTTCCTGAGGTGTGGCCACAGTCCTGTCCTAGGGTTTTGTGAAACACCATCCCCTCCTCATTCTCCCTTTTTGCTTGACCTCATTTGAGTCAGTTCCTGTTAATCATAACCAAAGTGTCCTAAATAATACAACCATTCTGTACATCTGCCTGTTTTCAAAACAGATAGGCATCAGTAAAAGGTTTTCTCCTCGGGTGGTTTGGAAACAGAAATCAGGTCACAGACAGTGATAGTCACACAGACCTTTCTCCAGCCTTTAATTTCAGACTCAACCAGGCAGCTTGGACCAAACCCATGACCAAAGTATCCTTCCAGGACAGTAAATGCTCCCTGATACTTTCTGCTAAACTCCAAATTCCAGAACAAATTGGGTACAAATATCCAAATAATTGTGTGGGCCTCCAAGGAGAGGACAAGCCTGCCCTCTCTGTTTGCTCTTTTCTTATTCCCCACCGCCTATCCAGCAAAGAAAAAAATGCTACCGTGACTTTCAGAAAGGAGGAATCTTATTGGCTGCTGGGCTAGTGGTCTTTTTCTCGCTTGCATGGACATGCCCATTTCCTGGGGTTGTAGTGGAAATTGAGACTAGGGTCAGCTTGCTGCTGGATACTCCCACCTCCACACTTAGGAAGGTCCTTTCTC